CTTTTGACAGGAAGCTTTATAATGCAAAGAAACCTCAAGAACTAGCGCTTGAAAACACTTTTAAGCTTTTAGTGAATGTTCATACGTGAATCATGTAATCAGTCTGGCTCCTTTTTGGGCTAGGTAGGAAATATTTGCAGTCATGTCTTGCTCTTGAAAGAGGAAGTTTGCATTGCTGTTCTCCTGTTTCTGTCTACCCCTTCTTCCTCATGCCAGTGTTAAACTGTTTTAAGAAGCCAGTTCTGTCGTCTTCACTCCCATTTCACAGCAGGCTGTGCGGTGACAGTGTCCCCTCTTCTCCACCATGATGGCATTTTGTTAAGGCCATTTGCTCCTCTGCCAGAGCAGTTTGATTTGGACAAAAAGGAGAGGAATCAAACTCTGGAGCTTTTTGTGCCAATCTTCAGTTATGCTGTTCCTTTTTGGTGGCCATGCGACTGAACCCCTTTACCCCAACAACGAACCCAAAAACTGCAACGGAGATCTCCCACCTTGCTGAAGTGGAGAAGTTCCTTTGTTGGCGGGTGCCTTTTTGTACTAAGTGTTACAAACATTTTCTTCCTGAGATGGACTCTGCCTTACACTTTAATTCTCCAGCAGATGAAAGAGAGAACTACCCTGTAGAGTATTAATTTCTCCCCACTCCTTGCTAGCTGTCATTCACTTTTTCCTCCTTTCTAAAGTGATTGGAAAAGGAATCTATGGCATTCTACACCTGGACCATTTGATTGTTTCCTTATTTTGGAATTGGTGTATATCATGCAGCCTTGCAGACATATGTCTTGTGTGTGTGTATATATATTAAAAAAGAATCAGTGTTTAAATAAAAGGCCTATGTACTTAATCCTTTAACTCTGCAGCAGCATTTGGTAGATAGTAATTAACTGTGAATAATAAATATACAGTGAATTCTTCACTTGAGCATCTGTCTGTTATTTTTATTTAAATAAGTGCTACATCAGCTGGTCAAACTACTTTATAAAGTGCTGACTCAGTGGAGGAGACGGATTTATCTCAGTAGCCAAACTGGCTTGAAACACCTGGAGTCCCAGGAAACGAGGGCAAGTCCCAGGAAAAATTGACTGAATCTTCTTCCTTCTTTCAAGCATGAGAAATAGAGAAGCATGATTTGGTGTGCACAGCCCTCCAGATTAAGAGAAAAGATCCTGTCTGCTGCTTGTGGGCACTGAAAATCAAATGTCAACCGTTTGAAGAGTTGGATGGTGCTTAAATGGTTTTCAGTGCATCCTACACCACATCCTTTCTTTTCTCAAAAATTTCCCTCAACTTTCCCAGGTAAGCTTGAACTAGTGATGAGTTATGGAAGATGTGTAGGATATGCCAAAGCTTCTGATGACTCCACCGTAGTTCTGTCCCACTGAAGCACAGTGGGGAGAGAGGGTGAAAACTGACATCTGAGTTGCATAAAAACAGCAGCCTTATTTCTAATACATTTTCAATGAGCTTTTCCCTTGCTTCCCCCTGCCATGTCCTGCCCTACAACTGAATGTAATTCATAGGGCAGCAGGTGTGTGTTGGTTGTCTGACAATGATCAGAATGTATTGTCTGGGGATGCAAATAAGTGCTATTAATGTAACAGTAGAAATATTCCTGGAAAGTCTGTTTTGCATCAAATGTCAACTGTGCAGCTGCTTCTCAATCCCATTGCTTTGTACAGATCGTCACAAATTCCATAATGGGATTTACAGCATGATCATGAAAGGCTGACTGACACACAAGCTGCTTTGAACAGTCCTGGAAAATGCGTGTACTTGGTTAAGAATTTTGTCAGCATGTCTGCCCTGGAGCTTTATAGTTGTATCTGTAGCTGTATTTAAGTTATCCAGTGGAAATTTCTTCATTTTTTTTTTTTCTCTGCACCATCTGTGCTGGCCAGCATTAAAAACAAACTTGCAATGATTTGTCTTGTGGGTTTACTTGGGCTTTTCATAATGCTGTAACTGGGATTATGTTGCTTTAATCTCTGAATGGTCTTGATGTCTTGATCTTGTATTGGAGGTTTCTCTTGAGTTCTTTATTGTTTGTAGAGGAAAAGACATTTGTTGCTTGTGTTTTAATGCCTTAGTTCTTAGTTGTGATAGATAATCTCTTCAAGAAGCAGATTACTTAGAAGGTCCAATTTCTGTGGCCGTAAGCATCATCACATGTACACACATAATCTTCTTCTGTCAATGTAAATGTCATTTGAGGATAGGTATCACCCCCCACCCCAATCCCCTGAGAATTAAATTTTTACTTGTCTGATTGTTACCTTACCTGATTTTGGCAAAGGAACAGCATTCAAAAGGAAGATGACAGACATTTTCAGTGCTGTTTATCTGCCGATGTATACGTAAATGGATTGTTAATGGTCTTTTTATCTCCACTGCCACCACAGCAACCAAGCAGACCTTGAGGTACTGGGGTTTTATGTAAATGTTAGTTAAACAGGAGTGTAGGCACCAAACAAAAGTACATAATAGTGTGTGTGTTAAATGCAGCTGATGGCTGTTTAAAATGAGAAATATTTACATTTTTGGGGCTCCTTGAAGTAATCCCCAGCTTGTGCATGAAACCATTTATCTTTAGAATTCATGTTTCAAATGGAAAATCAGTGTCAAGCACCAGAGTCTTAACTTCAACATTTCATTTCATATTTTTAATAGGAATGTAACAAACAGCTCTAATGAGTTGGATATTTCAGGAGGTAAATAACAGATGTAGCTGAACAGTCACTGCCAAACCAGCATGAATAGTCAATGATTCACTAGCGTAAGTAGTACACCATGTTAAATTCTTAGTGTGAACAGGTGTTCATGATCAGCGGGGTTTGAATGTACATTACAAGAGGAGAGACTTATATGCAGTACTAGCATTCCACAGTTCTTGTGCGTCTCGGCCTAGCTCTGCTATGGACTCCTAAATGGCCCTGGACAAAGTTATTTTAACCCTCTGCTCACATTTCTCCATCTCAAAGGCTTTGGTGAGAAATACTTTAATATTTGCAAATGTTGCCAATATGGTTCCTTTGTCACACCTGGTCTAACACAGAAGATTTAGCTAATCTACTTGTCACCCAGACTAGCTTGCATTAGCCAAGATTCCTGTCTTTCTAAAAAAGGGGAAAGTGTACTTTCGGGCTTCTACTAGTATATTCCCAAGTTTCTATGCTCTGAGGTTCATGTGATGATCTTTGGGAGCATGCTGTGTTCTAAATAAGCTCAAAGCCTGTGAATGCCAGGTTTACAAATTGGAGGTTTTGCAGTATTATATTGGCTGATTGAAAGTGCAGTGTCAAAATAGCTGGTAGCTGAAATCAGTCTGTGGTCTAAAACACAACCCCAGGCCTTGCAGAGTAACCACTCCTTTTGTGGTGGTGAGCATTGAGGACATGGTAGGTTACAGCCACAGCTCGTTTCAACAGTCGCCTTCAACGCAGAGCTGTGTGGGTGTAGGTGTAGGTTCCCTTTTACCTGCTGCAGAAAGAACCCAAGATGCAGTGTGGGATGTGGGCTTTTTCTCTCCCCTGCCCTCCACTTGTACATACATGCTCTTCTATGGCAGCTTGGAGGTAACTGAAATATTGACAAAGATGTCTGGTATTTAGGATTGCCCTGGAGTCTCCAGGAATCAGAGAGAAATCTCCAGGAGACTGCTGAGAGTCACCTGGGAGATGAATGGTGGGACAGTCATTAAAAAGAATATTAGATGTTGAATCTGATTTATACAGTTGTCCAGTGGGTTTTAAAAATTTAATAGTAATGTGCTTTTGCCTTCCTGATGTAAAGTCATAAATGTCATCACATCATGTGATGAAACCTCCCAGAATAGATTCAAACAGCAACCTTGCTGATATTGAAGCCTGTGGTGAAGAGGGATGGAGTGATACTTGCAGTGAATGTGACCTCAATGTCCTGGCAGGTGAGGTTTTTTGGGTAAATGTGGTATCTTTTATTAGACCAACTAAATAGCTGGAAAAATTGTTCTTTACAAGCATTCAAGTACAAACACCCTTCTTCAGACTCGAGGCATTTGTTGCTTTGGGTGCTCTCCTGGGTGGAAGGGAAGCCAGTATGCAAAATGCAGGTCTCTGAAAATGCAAATACATAGGATCAGAGGCCCTGGGAGAGCCTAGGTGTGGTGGGGTGGGGGAGAGAATGTAGCTGGTAATGTGTCTGCATTTTTACCCCTTTCTTCTTCCTACCTACCTCACACCCATAGGACAGAGTAGTGAACCCGCTGATCTTGAATCTGTGGCGGCTGCACTCGCTTCCTTCTTGGGAGCTTGGGGGAGGTACGCCCATGCAGGGTGATGCAGGGTGATGCTGGCACCTCTGATGCAAAATGACTTTGCTGGGGGCTGCTGGCTCCGGAAGACTATTTTCCATTTTACGTGCTGCTGACGGGCTGGGAGGAGCTTGTACAGTGTCTGACCCACCAGTTCTCAACCTCACTGGACTTTTTATGAACCATGCGTGGCCCCTCATAAAAACGAATGTGTATATTACAATGGGTCTCTCCTGGCAGAGGGGTAGGGATGAGCCTGAGCCAGACTCTTACCTATTTAGCTTATCTGCCTTTCTCCTTGCGTTTTGCTTATCTCCTGCACCCTCTAACCCCAGTGGAGAATCGCTGGTTTCAGTATGGTGCTGGGTGGCCCTTCCCTGTGCAGGGCCAGGTCTCCATGCCTGTCCTTGGTGCTCAGCTCAGGCCTGGGCTCCCTGCAGCCTCCCCCACCCCAAATTGTCCTCAGCGCCTGCTCTGCTGCACCTAAGCTGGGGGCTGTGCAGGCTCCTGGTACCCAGGTGCAGGCCAGGGCCCAGGTGGGAGCGCTGGGGCAGCATCTTGGCTGACAGCCGAGGCCCCTGCTCCAAGGCTTCCCTTCTCTCCCCCCCCCCCAACGCGTCGCTTTTAATAGAGGACGCGGAACTACACTTCCCAGCAGACCTCGCGCCTCCCCCGCCCCAGCCGTCGTGCGCCTGCGCACTGAGCCCCGCTGTGTGGCGGGTGGATTGGCGGGCGGCGATGGTGGGTTACGACCCCCGGGCCGAGTCGGTGCCGGCGGCCGCCGCGGCACTGGCGGGCTCCGCCTCGGGGCTGGTCACGCGGGCGATCATCAGCCCCCTGGACGTCATCAAGATCCGCTTCCAGGTCCGTGCTCCCCTCCGGCCTCGCGTCGGCGCGGCGCCGCGTCCCGGCTCGATTCAGATGCGGGGCTTAATTCGAACTAGGTCTGGCTTCGGATCGGTTCCTGGTTTGGATCGGGGGCTTAATTCGAATTTGATCTTGATTTCGATTGGCTCTCGATTCGGATTGGGGGTTTGATTTCAATGAGATCGGAATTTTGATTGGTTCTTGATTCGGATTGGGGGCATGATTTGGATTAGATCTTGATTTGGATTGGCTCTTGATTCTGATCAGGGGCCTAATTCAAATTGGATCTGGATTCGGATTGGCTCGTGATTCAGATTGGGGGCTTAATTCGAATCAGATCTGTATTCAGATTGGCTCTTGATTCGGATCGGGCTTAATTCGAATTACATCTTGATTTGGATTGGCTCTTGATTCAGATCGGGGCTTGATTCAAATTAGATTTTGATTCAGATTGGCTATTGATTTGGATCGGGGCTTAATTTGAATTTAATCTTGATTCAGATCGGCTCTTGATTTGGATCAGAGCTTTATTTGAATTAGATCGTGATTTGGACTAGCTCTTGATTCAGATTGGGGCTTGATTCAAATCAGGGCGAGCCCCCGGCAGACAGGCCCGCTGCCCTGGGCAGTCCCCGAGTTAACCCTTTGCCTTGCAGCTAATTCAGTTCATTGCCCCTTACCCCTGGTGTGTAAGGGCTTGTCCCTGCTCCTGCTTTGATGTAGCCCCAGATGCAGCCGCCGTCTGTTTTTAGTCTTGGTGCTGCGTTGCCGTTCAGTCCCAGTTGCAGCCCTGGGTGCGGGGTACAGGGGGAGCCCAGGTTTCCAGGATTGGGTCACAGCGCATGGCATGGGTCAGCATTTAACCATGAGGCTGAAATATATTCTCTGTGCCCTCCTCCAGCTTCAGATTGAGCAGCTCTCCTCCAGCCACCCGCTGGCTAAATACCACGGCATCGCGCAAGCCGTGCGCCGGATCTCCCGGGAGGAAGGCTGGGCAGCCTTCTGGAAGGGGCATGTCCCTGCTCAGCTCCTCTCCATCAGCTACGGGGCAGTTCAGGTAACACAGGTGTCCCCCAAAGCCACTACGGCCTAGATTTCTTCTGATGTGTGTCATTTATGTGCTGGGTTTATCAGCAGCCTCCTCTTGTTGTAGGGCCTGTCAGCTACCCGCCTCTTTGTATGGGCTTATCCATGCCTCTGTGTGCCAGGATGAAGACTGCCGGCTAGTGTAGAGTTAGGGCTGGAGACTGAGGGTACGAATGCCTGGATTTAACCGTAGCTCAGACACTCCAGTGCTGTGTAGCTTTGGATGTGTCATCTGTCTTTGTTGTTTTCTTTCTCATCCCTTTCCTGGGGATTATCATACTGATGATGGTGATCATGCTGTTTTACACGGTGCTGTATACCTTTAATTCGTGTTTGCACAATAGTGTTGTCTGTGGCAAGGATTGATGTAAGGGGAAAATGTATATAAGAGATGAATATTTTATAAGGGAGGAGAGACTCCCAACAGGATTTTCCTAGGGAGGGCTTTTTGTTCTCCATCCTAGGCTGTCTCCCCCGTAGGGAGAATTGGAGAGTCTGAATGCCCGTGACCTGCAGCAGTTGACTTGCTGCACTTTAGTTTCCTGGGTGTTATTGGAGCAAACCCTCCAGGAAGCTGCAGCGGAGATGGCTGGAGGCTTGGGGGAGTAGTGGGTTACAGCTGCCCGGTGAACTTTCTTCGTGGAGTGAGGGAGGAGCAGGAGGTTGTGGTTATCACGGGCAGAGATTTTCTCCCTGACTCCTGCTTGTATGTGTCTCTTTCTCTGAAGTTTGTGGCCTTTGAATGCCTGACGGAGCTGGTGCACACTGCCACGCCGTACAATGCCCGTGACTTCTCCGTGCACTTCGTGTGTGGTGGCCTGTCCGCCTGCGCTGCCACCATGACGGTCCAGCCGCTGGACACACTACGCACCCGCTTCGCTGCTCAGGGCGAGCCTAAGGTATGAGTTAGGGGAGGAAAGCTTCAGCTTCTTCATTTTTGGTGGTGGTCATCTCCACTCTGGTTAGCAGGGGAGGTGTGAAAGGCACCTAACAGCCACCTGGCAGTGTGAGGGCTGGGGCCTTTAAGTGACAAGGTTATCATTGTTGCTAAGTTATTCTTTGGGTTTCCTGACGTGTCCTTCTTCACTGTGCTTTGACCTAGCCCTTTTCATTTGACTCCGAACAGGTGATCAAATGAGAAGGAGACTTCTCTGTCACAGTTGCTGGGTTGATTTTTATTTTGGCAGTCAGCCACATGAGGGATTTATATCTCAGCCCTTTCCTGAGCGTCTGTGTCTCCAGCCTGCTGTATACAGAGAGTCACATTTCGGTTCATGCAGTAATGAAGTTTAAAAACAGTCCCTGCTAATCCTATTTTATATCCCAACTGATACAAGAATCAGTTGCCTTTGCAGCCAGGCTTGGTCCTCCCTGTTGTCTTCCAGAGGGTGTCTGAATTTGAATCGGGGCCATTTCTTTACTGGACTTCTGCTTGGCCTGCTGCGGCATCCCAGTGTATTTCCATGAATGCAGCATTAGGATTTCACTGCAGGAACAAGCAGAGATAGGTCGAGGGGAACATAATAACTGCTGCTGAGCTAAAACAGTCGGGGAAATTACTATATATCAGAGATGGAGCCAGACTTTTCAGTATAAGTTTTAACTCATGGAAAGCTGATGTTTTCCAGCCCCCAGCCTAAGGGAACTGAGCAGGAGAAGTTGTCAGCCTATTGAGTAAAAAGCTGTAATTGGCACATTCGGCTGTGAAGGGCACCCTGAATTGAGCTCCCTTGTGCACTTGTGCAGAGCTTGTCCCACTATTTCCTTGCCCTAACACAGATGTTTTGCGCTGCTTCCCTTCCCTGTCCTCTGGAGCTTGGGTGCATAAGGATTCCCAGGTACCCTTGTCTTTTCTTTGCTTTTCCTCACCAGTAGCACAGTTTTGGGCAGTTTCAGAATGCAACGTCCTACTGGACCTTTTAGAGTAGAGTCAGTCTCCTGTGGAAAAGACCCATATTTATAGATTTTATAGACATTAGGGGCTGAAAAGGGACCTCGTGAGATCATAGAGTCCAGCCCCCCCTGCCATAGGCAGGAAGTCAGCTGGGATCAAGTGATCCCAGCAAGGAAAATATCCAGATGTTTTTTGAAAGAGTCCAGAGTAGGTGCTTGCACCAGGTCTGGGGGGAGCCTGCTCCAGACCCTGGACACTTGCACCATAAAGAACCTTTTTCTCATGTCTAGGGTACATGTGCCGTCTAGGGTTCATGTGCTTTACACTGTTCATGTGTGGTAATTGTTACATGGCTCACAGTGGTGAGTGCTACGTGAAATGCCCTTGTTAAACTGTTTGTGCC